AAATTTCTCCGGCACCCTCCCGCAATAAGGAAGCAGCATACTCTCCTAAATTAACTTGGCAGAAAAATGTTTTCCTACCCTTTCAGATTCTTATTAATTTTAAATACATAAACTCATGTTCAAGAAGAAAATCCTACAAAGCATTTTCACAGATGGCTTGGTTTCTCAGTGGATAGTAATCTGACATAGCATGAAATGACAACCTATTATTACTTTAATGTTAAGGTCAAAAGGATTATTTTGCATGCCTAAATTAGGTATCCCAAAGCTTTAGTCTTTATCAGACCCACACCTAGACAAACTATCATAAAGTAAGGATTGAACAGGCTGATGTTATTTAAGAAAGAATTAATTTTCAATACTGAAGCACTACTTATATAGCCTTTAAAAGTAAACAAGAAGCTAACATCGTGCCTTGTTAAAGGCAGGTCATTTCTAACCATTAAAATTCTTTTTCTTATCAAGTGGTATTTTATCAGCACAAATATAGATCTTATAAGCAGGAAACAAGCTCACGTACGGTTATGAAAGTGGCGCCATTTTACTGAAACTGCATTAGCTCTAACCACAATAAGACTTTTTAATAATAGAGTCTATCAATTCCCTCATATTCATGACTCACTGTCACTAGAAAAACCAGTTTGCATTCAGTTTACTCAATGCATATTATAAAAGCATCTTCCTATAAGTGGGAAGATAGTTTCAGCACAGGCAAAAGAAAACTGACCTGGGTAATGAAAACAGATAGGATGCTTTGTCTGTGATTACAGAAAGAACTAAATAATGTCATTCTCTTATAAATGCCTGAAATACTTCAACTTACTTTACAGCCCCCGGCAAAATCATGGCCTCAAGATTTCTCTCAAGGCAAAGCCCTAAAGCACCTGAATGTTTATTAAAGGAATCCCTGGACATACTACATTATCATCTCAGTATAATTCCAAATGCAACAAACTCAATTCAGCAATTCAGCACTTACTGAATGATTATTACATACAAATACTGTGTAACACACAGCAGTAATTACAATATATACCTCATCTTCAAGAGTCTTACAATCTACTGGGAGAACAAAACACATTATCAGCCCTTCTCAACTGGGGTTATTTATCTGAATGACAAATGAAAGAAGGACCCAAGCACTATTTTCTCAAATCTTTCGAGGATGGATTACAACGAATACAATGCTAGATGCATATGACAGATGTCTTGGGGTGTAATGGTAAGAAAGTACCAAAAGACAAAGACAGTATGGAAGACCACATGTCATGCTCCAAACTTGGTATTCTTTGCTGTGGCTCACTGAGAGTCCACACATATTTTAAGCACATAAGTAACATAATCAAACATGTAAAATGCTATTTTGGCAATAGTACAGATGAAGGGAGAGAAATGGAAGCAAGAAACCCAACTATGAGATTATAGAAATAATCTTAGCCTTAGGAGTAATAATGTCCTGAACTACAATAGGATCAATCAGGATGAAAAGGCAAATGAACAGGATTTGGTAAATGACAGAGGCAAGAATAGTTGTCTTCAAGACTTTCATCCAGGATGAACAATAAAGTGATACCATGCAACTATGATAGAAATATAGGACTTAGAAAAAAAAACAACCACCAGCAAACTGCTTTTCTCTATGCCTTCAACTGTGCTAAATTTATTCCAGAATTTGTATTTTTATTGGTTATTAGGAACCATAATGAAAGACCAGATTTTAAAGTACTTAAACCCCTACAGCACTTCTTCAGGATAAAATACTAACACAACCAGGAAAAAATCTAAACAATTTAATGTCATAGAGATAAAGAATCCCTCACCTAACTGCCAGAACCAGCTTACTAGTAATGAGAACAATGTCTTACAACAGACCAGTTCATTTACAAACCATCCTTTAGCCAAAGCTTTGAGGAAAAGTCTCCCTAAGAAAAAGAATGGCAAATGTTATGGCACTGTCTAAAAGCACTTAAAGAATCCAGAGGAAGAATGTTTCAAAACTCTATGGCAAGACTGTAAGATCTTTTCCTAACTGGTATGGAATTAAAGTTGAAATATGGGGACATGAATATGGGGTGAAATACAGAAGTCACCTTAAGACTTCGAATCTCTCTCTCCTACTTCTCCTACCCTTTGAAAAAGTCTTAATAGGAATTGGCAGTATCAACTCGAGCACAGAAATTTTTATCTACAATCCAATCACGTTTATAAACTCTATTCTAAAAATGGTCATCAACCCTATTCCAAAATGTACTTTAGAATTTTTGGAAATTTTTAATGGAAAACACATGAATATGCCCTTCTATACATCTATGACTTCTTTACTTCTCTTTTTGTCCTATGTGAGACAATGTTAATATAAGATGTTATTCCTCACTTTAGTAGTCATACAAACTATTCAATATCCAAAAGTAGGAAAATAAATTAGCCTACAGGATGATTTTGAGATAGCAGAAAAGTTGACTGAATTATATGAAACAAAAGGCATTTGCTTTCTGAAAAAAGAAGCAGAACAGCATAAGTAATAAGAACAAAGCTTTAGTGTCAAAGAGTCCTTGGGTCAGATTTTTCTATCTATAAAATGGAGATTTTACTACATAAACAAGTCTGTGAGATAAAAGTAAATTAGTGTTTTCCATACCCGGCTGGTCACCAGAATCACCTGGGAAGCTTATTAAAAACATACCATCCCATGCCCCATTCCATACTTTCAGGAGTGTGGTCCCAAAATTTGTATTTTTTAACAAACTCCAAAGATGGTATCAGTCTTACAACTTGGAAATCACTGAAAAAAAAATATTTTGTGCTTTTTATATGTTCCTATATAATTTACATCTTTATGTATAACGTAACAGCGCCCTAGCACACTGTAAAATGTTCAATAAGTGCTTTATGTAATTATTATTTTGAAATAGGAGATAAAACTAAGCCTTTTGTAACATCATGGCCACGAAGTGGTCTTGCAGAACAGTTCGCATAAACCTCTCAGCAAAAACAAGACTTGAAGCACGAAACCATACTGCTTCAGAGACTGCGAGAGATGACAAAAGTGAAGTTTCAGACTGATGACAACGCCCCTTTTCCACAACATAGTTTATGACAGAAGGAAAGCAGAAAGTCAGGCCTGTCTTGTATTTTTCATACCAAAGCTTGATCACACCAGGTCACTCTATCACAAAATCTTTACATTTCTTCCTTATTTTTCAGAAATTCATACAAATTCATATAAACTCATGACAGAGCATGTAAGTACTAAATAAATGTGTACAGTAACTTTAACCATAACAAACAGCTAAAACCCACAGAGATGTACGAATACTCACAGGAAATCCCTGGTTCTTATTTATGAATAACATCAATCCTTTTTAAAAGCCCAAACCCTTAAATTATTTAGTATTTCTTAAAAACTGACCACATACATAGGATATAAAGCCCTTTAAGAAAAGCCTTAAGCACATTTTTGCAACAATACTGTATACAGATCAGTGTTATCTATAAGATTACATTTTAAAACTCCTTCTATAAAAACCATAACAAATTTATTTATAAATGTGGTTTCCAGCTTGTTTCTATCATATCACAGATCTGGTAAATTCAGGAAACTATTATAATAATGAATAATCTCTCTTCTAAATGTTGATACTAAAGCAAATTTTTTTAGAAGTTATCACTGACAGAAGGTAAGAGTGTATCCTATGGTCATTGGGAGTAAACTACATAGACTATGTACTAAAACTTTTTATTTTAAAACACTTTTAGGAAATGATTCTTAATGAACACAAACTTAGTTACTAATGTTTAAAAAAAAAAGTTAAAATACTCAAGGTGTACAAAATAATGTTTACCTAATTACCAAACACGGTATTTTACCTTTGGGTTTATTTCTCTATATACACATCTTACAAAGATTATGGGAATCCATGATCTAATGCTAACAGATTGCTGCAAGCACTGAGAAATAAGTGTGTTATATAAACAAAGCTTAGAGGGAAGGAGTTATTTTGGTCATTAAATTATAGTACTTTACCATTTTCTTTTATCAAGTTTTAACCATTAATCCTTCTGGTATTAAAGAAGCAAAGTTACACCAAGAGATCCAGAAGGCTGAGGTAATGTGATCTTAAGAGTTGAAAGAAACACAGTAACTACTAGAATTCAGAGATGTCTCAAGCAAGTAAAACCGAAAGTTATCAGCTTTCATAGGCCTGTAGAATCCTAACTACTTCCATGAAAAGTCCTTATAAATACCACACCTGCACAAAGTGTCTACATGATAAGAGAATGCAGAAAATTTAATGAATTTAATCTGATTACCCTCCACACCTATATTTCCAGAAATATTTGGGGTGTGGTGTGTGACAATCAAGAGCCTTAAAAAAGTTTTTAATCTTCAGTACACACTTGATATGAGGCAACCAAAAAAAATACTTGATCTACAAAACTACTTGATCTACCAACAACACATGGTAAGAAAGGTTACTTTTCTGCTCCCCTTCCCTAAAAAAACATCTTTATGGATGTATCTTCCTGAAGCCTTTATGAAACCTCTCTTTTCTATACTTTTTTGGTTACCTTCCTGGGTCTATCCCCATGGATAAAATGTTTTGCCAAGTGGTCTTGAAAAAGACACAGAAATTTAGAAATGGGGGAGGGGACAGAGGGCAAAGACAGGGTTATGATTTAACTTCTCCATCATAAACGACTTCTAAAGAAGCAAAGCAGGTTAATACTGAAAAGTATTAGCATGAAAGTAAAACTCTCCAAAGAGGAACAGAAATGCAAATACCCCTTCATTCTACTAGACCTCAACCCTAAAGTGAGAAAAGTTTAGGACATGGTACATTAATAAGCTTGCAAAGTTAGCTAGACTTCTCATGACAATAAACATTAAAAAATTAACTCCAAAGGAAAATAATTGGTAATAAGTTAATGGGTTTCACCACAGTAATATTTCTCAAAAATATAAAATTTAAAACACTACAAAGTACAGGACAATAACTTACTTGAGTTGGAACAAGTACGGGAGGGTAGGCCATCTTGTGATGCCTGTACACCCAAAATGCACAAATGACAATCCCCGCAATTAACATAAGTGGCACCAAGGAATAGAGCAGGATGTTGTAATAGGGTGGCTTAGGTGTAACTGGATTTGAAGTGGCTGTGGAAAAGGGGGGGAAAAATAACTCAGATTTGGTCTACAAAATTCTATAATAAATATTTGTCATAGTCTCAAATTTTGGGGGAAAAAAAGAATATGAAGAGGTAGGGGTAAATTATTCCATCAACACAAATATATTTTGTTTCCAATCTACAGTTAAGCAAACCTATGTATTTTCCCTGTGAACTTACGCTGTGTGACTTCCATCTCTGGAAAATAAGAAAACTTTTCATTACACATATTGCCCTCACAGCAACAAAAATATACTTCAGGGCTGTCTTTTTTTTCTACACAATCAGTCCTATAAATAAGCAGAGAAAAAAATAATTAAAATCAATATTATTATACTGACCCTACAACAGGTGTTTTTATTCTGCAATAAAATAAATTAGTCATTTATATTCAACTTCAAGATTCATATTAATATCTAGTAATTCTTAAAAACCAAAAATATTCCTGGATTCCTGTTACTAAATCTCTTTAGAAAAAAAAAAAATCAACGACTGACTTTATAACAATCACATTGACTACTAGAGACTATCGCTGTAATTTGGTTTTTAATGAGCAACCTAAGGCAAGCATCTTTTTTTATTTTTTTAATTATTAGAAAAGCTTGAAGAGGACATAAAGTCAATGAGGCAATTTGGTCTAAGAGCGCTTTTGCTCACAGGAAATATAGCGTTCCCATTTTGTGAATACAAAAACTGAAAACTATATATAAAATGATAAAATGAAAGCTCATATCTCATGGGTGAAACATTTCAACATCAGAAACCCCAACTAGGCTGAGGAATTAATACTGTCATTGTTCTTTAGAGTGTAGATTTAAATTCCCTAAATGCAATGAACAGGGTTGAGATGAGCAGTAAGTAGAAAAAAAACATGTAACAATAATTATATAGCACCTACTAACTCAAACTGATTAGAATTACACCAAAAAAATAAAACTAAAGTAGCCTTCTACATAGGAGCTTAAGTCATGAAAAGACCTGGATTTAGCCTTTAGAACAAATCCTAATCACCCACTAATAAACAGCTAAACCTATTTTTAAAAAATCAACATCAGATGAACTTACAGTGTATCTTAAAAACAAACTGAACTTTTCTGATAGTTGTCAGAATAATAATGTAGAATTTAATTCTTAAGTGAAAAGCTGAAGAAATTTCAGGGAGATAGGAGGTTTAACAAAATCAAACTAAAATATACTCAACATCAACATCTATTTGGCAGGAGGTTTTTTAAAGACGAATGAAAGCTAAATGTTAACAATTTATAAAGAGAAATATATAAATTTAAAAACTGATATTTAAAATCATGTCTCAAATTACAACAGATTAACATGATTACTTAGCCTAATTAATTCAATAAAGTTACTTTTCACCATTCATTCTTCTTTTATCATTTTCTTTTCTTCCACACTTTGACAATTCTTCAATCTTCTTTTCCTCTTACTTCTCTTACTATCCTATTTGTTTTCAATCAAATTTAGAGTATAAAAACAAAAATTTTATAGTTTAAAATTAGCATTTAACCTCCAGACACAAAGGTAGTATACTAATTACCATTCCAAGAGCAAGTATTTGCAATGAATAACACACTTGCAGACTCCAGTGAAAATGGCTCACTACTCTTTTTGGCACTATCGAGTCTCACGTAGCTGGAGTATTGTCTTTAGATAAAGAGCAAAGTAGTTTTCTACTACAAAAAAGAATAGGAATCTCTGATTCCAACTAAATGATAAAAAACAGTTTGGGATAAAGATGATTCCCAAACTTTTTTCCCCAATTTCTTCCTGTTTACTTTTCATAACAGCACATATCACTCGACCACTTCTGTTAGTAGAGGTTGATAATCAGAAACGCAGCTAAAACATATAAGTACATAGAAATAATCCCTGGAAAATTCACATACTTAGAAGGACATCCTAAATATGAAATATATATCTAAATCTAAATGACTGTGTTGTAATTTCTCATGAAAAGTGTAGTTAACCTAATTTTCAAGGGCTTATTCAATGCATTTTGCTCTTAGTCACATATAGCTAATCAAACACAGATTCCAGGTTATCAACTGAGGCTCCCAAAAGTGATCTAGAAGTATCTAGTGTTCACTGTATACAGCAGTACTCTCTGGCTCCAAAATGTCTGTTTATCTGGGACTTTACAGCTTCTGCCTGTCTTCAGCACCTACCCACAGCAGAAATCCTGTGGCCCAGGCAGTGAACGGATCACCCTAACTGCTATGGGACGCCATACAGAAAGATCACAGGCAGTCAATAACATGACCACTTTATTTTACTTCCAGTACAGAGTAAAGCAATTTAAACAAGTATGTAGTTTGAGGACTGTGTTAGTTCTGATGAAATTTTGAATGTCAAGTTAAAAAGTCTCTTGGGGTAGACCACGCATGGTGGCTTACATCTGTAATCCCAGCACTTTGGGAGGCCGAGGCAGGTGGATAACCTGAGATCAGGAGTGCGAGACCTGCCTGACCAACATGGAGAAACCCTGTCTCTACTAAAAATACACAACTAGCCGGGCATGGTGGCGGATGCCTGTAATACCAGCTGCTTGGGAGTCTGAGGCAGGAGAATCACTTGAATCCGGGAGGCGAAGGTCGCGGTGAGCTAAGATTGTGCCATTGCACTCCAGCCTGGGCAACAAGAGCAAAACTCCGTCTCCGAAAAAAAAAAAAAAAGTCTCTTAGGGTAAAGAGCGAAGGGCCTACTTTGCAAGAAAAAAAAAGGAAAAAAATGTAGAAAGATAAATTTCTTCCAGATACATAAAGAAGGAAACTGAAAGAAAATTAAACACATGATTAAGTTTTATTCTTCTTGAGGATAGATTTTCAACAGATAAACTCTTTTAAAGTAATTTTTTAAATGTTTTCCTTAAAAAACTAGCATTTTAAAAGTTTACAATCCTAACACCATTGGGGAAAATGGTTTTTATTTCAGAGTTCTCACTACCTGGTAGATTATTCAAAATATATCAAAGATAAAACATAAATATGCCATGTTTATTTTATTACTTTAAAATATACTGTCATTAGAGCATGTTATAATATTCTTTATACTCCCATTTTTAAAAAAGCAAGACATATTTAAGGGAAAATTCATGCACTGATCTTTCCCCTTCCAAAAAGGGGGGAAGGATGAAAATTACTCAGTACTACCATAAAATCTTAAATGCGTTCTTACCTGTCATAGCAGTTGATATCATCCAGCCAACAACCTTGTTTCACTATTTCAATGGAACCAGAAATATTCTTCCAGGTAGCAAAACAATGCCGCCGTTTATCTTTGTCACCATAACACGGTTCAACACCAGTTTGATTGGTTCTGTCTTTTTCCCAATTAGCATTAAAGAAAAGACACTCCTGAGTTTCTGATCTACCAAGTATAGCACCTATAAGATAATAAAAACAACAATATAACCACATTAGCTCTTAAAATAAAAGACTGTTTCCCAAGATAGCAACTTCAGGTATTCCTAAAGTGTCAATAATTTACTGTCTTCCCACTTATAACTTTGGGTTTAGGTTTACAGGTTAATCCCTGTACTTTAAATATAAAAATAGCCATTATATAATAGGAAATAACCATACATATCACAATATTTCTCTGAACACCAGTTTCACTTCACTTGAGAATGTCCTTGATGAAAAGCCACTGAAATTAATAATTTTATTAAACCTTGGCCCTTGAGCAGACTACTTTTTAATACTGTATGGGACAAAAACCAAGCAAACATAACTCTGCTGCATAGTGAATACAGCTGACCCCCAACAACTCAGGAGTAAGGACCACCGACTTTGCACACAAATAAAAATCAGTGTGTAACTTGTGACTCCCCAAAAACTTTCCCAATAGACTACCGTTAACCAGGAGCTTTACCAATAGCATCAACAGTCGATTAACACATATTATCTATGTTATAATATTATCTACTGTATTCTTACACTAAAGTAAGCTAAAGAAAAGACAAGGTTATTTTAAAAATAAGGAAGAGAAAACACATTTACAGTACTGAACTGTGCTTATCGAGACCATAAGTTTACATCTTCTGTTCACAAAATAAATCATGAGAAAATACATTTATTGTACTGAACTATATTTATCAATACCATAAGTTTATGTCTTCTGTTCACAAAATAAATCACAAATGGCAACCACAGCTGCAGACCTCAATCTATGGTATGTATCAAACAATTCCACTTTTTCTTGTAATGTCAAGAGTTTTCTCTTCTTAGGATCAATTCCAATATCACCAGTGGCACTCTGTATGGGTCCCATGGTGTTATTCAAAGTTCACGGTACTGCGCTAAACACAATGAAAAATATGCTAGAACCGCAAGAGATCACTTTTGACTGCGATATACAATTTACTGGAGAGACAAACTGCTCAAGCTGAGATGATTAGCATCATATGGTGTTTTAAGTAGATATTCGCAACACTTGAGCTCACCGCAACAGCAACAGGAGGCGGCTATGAAATTATTACAGTAGTACAGTGTGTACTATAGTTAATTTTATGCAATTATAATTTAATACTGTATCTTTACATTTGTTTACAATTCTCTCAACTGCAAACTGTGCCATGTATGGTCTGTAAGTGCGTGTGTGTAAGTTTTTTGATATATTTTAACTTTTTATAATAGATTTGTGTATATTTTATGGTAGTAAATGATAAAAGACTGGTTTATACATATATTTTATGCATTCATGACATATATCTAACTTTTTCTTAATTTTTTCAATACTTCTAGGCTACAAAGTTCATTTGTGAGTTTTTTCAAATTGTCCCAAATCTCCAAAGTCTTTTTCAACATATTTATTGAAAAAAATCCACATATGTGTAGACTCACACAATTAAGACCCTTGTTATTCAAGGATCAACTATACAATGGTTGCCTCAAGAAAAAGCCCACGTATGACTGAATTGTAAACTAACAAACTATGGCTGTTTAGACTTGGGTATCTGACAGGCATGTTCTCAAAAGTAAACCAAGTGAACCTGTGACTCCAAGAAAAGCAACTAACAAGTATGCATTTCCAATGATAAAATTTAAGTTTTCAAGCAAAAATTAAAATTTTGAAAATTTTTATCTACTACCATCAGCAGTAGGCGATGGTGTCAACCTTTCCAATAGTCAAAGAATTTTCTGATGAGATCAGTGGTGATATTAACAAATGTGACTTTTAAATATTGAATAATGAAATGTGACAGTATTCAGAAAGTCTACATAATTCAGAGAAACAATATTTTCCAAATAAATTGTGATATTACAAAAGTATTCATGGGTTAAAAAAAAATCCACTCAATGTGCATGACAAAGCAGATTTTAATGTTACAAAAGACGAAAAGTTCATCAATGGTTTCAACTTCCCCACTGCAACTAGCATTTACAAAATTATGTCTTATCTCAAAAACAAGAAAACTGGAATACCCAAAATAATTCTGAAAAAGTACAAAGGAGAATTCATACTTACTGATTTTAAGACTTACTATAAAACTTCAGGAATAAAAACAGTATGGTTATAGTGAAAAGACAGATACATGTATCAATGGGACAGAACAGAGAATCCAGAAATAGTCCCACATATAAATGGTCAATTGATGTAGAGAAAAGATGTCAAGGTAATTCAATAGAAAAATGATAGTCATGGCAACCACAGATGCTGGAGCAACTGAATATCCATATGCAGAAAGAAAAAACAAAAAGCTTCAACCCATATATCACACCATATACAAAAATTAATTCTAAACATATCATAGACCTAAAATAATACCTAAAACTATTAAACTTTCAAAAGAAAAAATGAATAATCTTTGTGACTTTGAATTATCAAAGATTTCTTAGAACAACACATATGACCTACAAAAGAAAGAACTGATAAACTGAATCTCACTAAAATGAAAACTACTCTTTGAAGGCTAAGGGGACGAAAAAAGTCACAGACTGGAAGAAAATACTTGCAAAACACATTTCTAAAAAAGGACTGATACTCAGAAAATATAAAGCCTCTTACAAGTCAATCACAGGAAAAAACACTGTCCAATTATTTAAATGGGCAAAAGATTCAAATAGGTCCTTTGCCAAAGAGCAAAGAATAAATTTTTTTTTTTTGAAAAAAGCTACTCAATATTATGAATCATCAGGGAAAAGCAAACTAAAACTACAATGAAATACTAACACTAACTCGAATGACTAAAACAAAACAAAAACACAAACGGACAATATCAAGTATTGCTGAACATGTGAGCAACTAGAACTTTCACATATTAGTGGTGGTAGAGCAAAATGGCCCAGCCACTTTGGAAAACAGCTTTACAGCTTCTTAAAGTTAAAACACACACCTGCCCTACTACCCAGCAATCACACGTGTAGATACCCACGTAAGAGATAAAAACATAAGTCCATGTAAAAATCTGTACATGACTGTTCACAGTGGCTTTACTGATAATCTCCGAAAACTAAAAACACTCCGACGTCCATCAATGATGAATAGATAGGCAAACATCCATACAATAAAAAAGGAAAGAACTAGTGATACCTACAACAAAATGGATGAATCTCAAACATTATGCTAAGTGAAAGCAGACACACTCAAAAGGCTGCCCTGTAGGATTCTATTTACACGATATTCTGGAAAAGGCACAAATATAGGGACAGAAATCAGTTCAGAGATTGCCAGAAGCTGGGAGTGAGGGAAAGGGAGGTGATTACAAAAGGGCATGAGGAAACTTTGTGGGATGAAGGAAATGGGAACACCACGCCTTGACTGGAGTGTATTATGATTGTATAATATGTATGTTTCATATATTTTCATCAAAACTTATGGAACTGTATATCTAAAAAAGCACATTTTATTGTATGTAAATAAAATTGACTTCAAAAAAAAAATAGAAAAGAAACTGCCATATCTTGAGTTATGGTATGATATCAAAGAAACACACCCATATCTTAAAAAACATTATTAAAATACTATTACTTTTTTTCTAACTATGTATCTGTGTATGACCAGATTTCCTTCATATGCTTCAATCAAAATAACATATCACAACAAACTGAATGGAGAAACAGATACAATAATTCTTCTACTACAACAATCATTAAGAGATTGTAAAAATTTTACTAATTATTTTATTTCGGAAAATATTTTTCATAAAAACTTGTTCTTTACTAACATAACGGATTACTGCTATTTTAAATAAGTTAATATTTAAACATTTTCTTTAATTTCTGATATGGTAAATATTGATATATATCACTCATATTTTTTAAAGTTTTGGGGTCTTTAATTTTTAAGAGCTCTAAAGAAGTCCTGAGACTAAAAAGTTTGAGAACAGTAGTTCTACAATATACTAGCACAGCGATGTAGTTATAAGTTGCCAGTATTTGTGGGCAGTAATGGTGCCATGGACTTCCTCTCAACTGTGGAAGAAATTATAGCATGAACTGATAGTGCAAACTATGTTCTGGTAACTCTACCTCAACTGTGTATAAAAGAATAGGCCCAGCATGGTGGCTCACTCCTGTAATCCTGGCACTTTGGGAGACCAAGGCAGGCGGATAATGAGGTCAGGAGTTCAAAATCAGCCTGGCCAACATGGTGAAACCCCTTCTCTGTTAAAAATACAAAAATTAGCTGGGCATGGTGGCGCACACTTCTGATTCCAGCTACTCAGGAGGCTGAGGCAGAAGAACCCCTTGAACCCAGGAGATGGAGGCTGCAGTGAGCCGAGATCGTGCCACTGCACGCCAGCCTGGGCAACAGAAAGAGACTGTCTCAAAAAAAAAAAAAAAAAAAAGAAAGAAAGAAAAAAGGCTGCTACCACCATTTACCTGTATGCAAACAATAGGCACTTTCTAAATTATTTTCAGAAACGTGTTGAAAATATGAGCAATGTAAGTTTCCTCCTTTACCAAATAATACAAAAGCAATATTCAATGCCCCATTGTTGTCTTAAAACAGGGATAGCAATTTTTCTATGTAAAGATCCAGACAGTAAATATTTCAGGCTTTACAGGCCACGTGGTCTGCCACAACTACTTAACTCTGCCCTTGTAGCACAAAAGCATCCATGGACAATACATGAATGAACATGATTATGTTGCATTAAAACTTTATTTATGGATACTGAAAATTGGATTTCATGTAGTTTTTACAACTCACAAAATATTATTCTTTTTTTTGGACTTCTTTTTTTGCTACCATCCAAAAATATAAAAATCATTCTTAGCTCCAAGATGGATTTGGCCCATAGGTTGTGCGGTCTGCTACCTCCTGGCTTAAAATAACGTTCTAATCCCAATAGTCTGTCTAACCTAACTTTTGTTTATTTTGTTGGAAAAGGGGGCTCTGTGAATTATCACCCATTTCATTCATGTTAAAAACCACTAT